TTTTATATTCATTTGGGGCAAGTATAGAACATCCTGAGATTAGATGGTCTATTGTTTCTTGGTATTTGTCACAGAACCTGCATTTTGGATCCAATTATGTATGATATTTGCCTGAAAATTCCTAGTGAAAAGACTCTGGTCTTGCGCTGCAAGAATAAAGCCTTCAGTTTCAACTTTAATCCAGATGCTCGTAACCATCGATGAGTATTAACTTTATCAACATTGGGTTTATTTGCACGTTCTGGATATTGGCCAAGAGGTTTGTCTTGCCAGCGTTGTTTCATCTGTTCAAGGGCTTTATCCTTGGCTTTCTTTTTATATCTTTTGCTGCAATAGTTGGTTCTTGGCTTCTGTTTTGATTTACTACAGAATCTACTAAATGTAAATGTTGTTTGTATTTACTGCCTTTTTATTATTGAATATTTTTCTTTCTGTTTTCATGTTGTTTCACTAATTTTATCATCCAGTCATTTGTTGTTTCCATGTAAGTTAGTAAGCCAATAGTTGTTGTCTTGTATGACAATTCTAGCTATTATTATTATTATTATTATTATTATTATTATTATTATTATTATTTCCTTTGATTTCTGGTGTGTACGCATTTCTTTCTGGGTCCCGCCCAGAGACGTAAGGTTAGAAATGGTATCATGACACTTTCCACTGATCAATTATTTAAAAAAAACAAAAACAAAAAAAAACATATTTTACATGGGTGAAGCCCTTCGTAAAGTGTAGGCTATACTCGTGAGAACAATCTTTTGTATTTCTTTAAGGCAAGGGCTGCCAGGAATCCATTCAATGAGTCTATTGGAATCTTTTCCAATAAGCCCGAAGGCTCCAACTACAACAGGGATTGTTGATGTTCTTATGTGCCACATTTTTGAGGTTTCGATTTTAAGGTTTTTGTATTTTGATAGCTTTTTGAAGATATTCAAAGATACATTGCAGTTGCTGGGACTGCCATATCAATAAGGAGGCACTTTTTTTTTTGCGGTCTCTAATAACAATGTCTGGGCAGTTAACTTTGATTGTTATGTCTGTGTGTATTGTGTAGTCCCATAAAATTGCACAGGCCCTTATTATTATTATTATTTTACACAGCTTAGGATCTTGGTTGCTGGAAAAAGAAGTTTATTTACAGGCCACCTCTCATTAATTAAGAAAATAAATCGATCATTTCTTCTTTTTATAGACAGGCTGCGTCTAATATTTTTCGAATGATACCTGCTTTCTCGAGCAGACAAGCTTTTTACAATAGTTCTATTACATAATCACAATTTTAGAGGAAAAAAGTATTACAAAGGCTTTCGTGTGACGAGTTTCGTCCTTTTGGACTTTATCGAACTAAGTTTGTTTACGTTGATGTGACTACGCATGCGCACGAACGAGAAACGTCGGGAATTTTTAATTTAAAAATAACTTTTTTTATTATGTGTTTTAGTTATATAATCTAACTGACTTCATTTAGATTCATTTTTTTTTTCTCTTTTTGTTTATGTTTCCATCTTACTAAATATCCCACATTGTAATAATAAATAATCTGCTAAGAATGGTGAAACATTTTAAAACCTAGTTTAAATTTTACTGTGGATGACCTCGCGATTAAAGCACTTTCTATATATTTTTGTCTCAGTAAATTGTTTTTTGTTTTTTTTTTTAATTAAAGTAGCATATTTTAAATCAAAATTGTAGTCAGACTCATTACGGTGAGCAACTGATGCATTTAATGTTTTGTTTTGTAAAATATCCTTTTTGTGCGCAGATAATCTTTTATTTAAATTCTTTGAGATTTCTCCAATGTCAACAGAACTAAATCTGGTTTAATATTCTCTAAAGTTGTCACTGTCTATACCTGAATATCCTACAGGATTTTCAGATTAAAAATCAAGCACGTACGAGAATTTAAATAACACAGGACAGAAAACGTAACACCGAAATCCAAAGATGCGAAAATGCCGCTCAAAAGCTAAGCAAAGCATTAAGAAACAGGAAACTTTTGTTAGAAACCGTGCTGAAATGTTTGGCAAATATTAAAGGCAATAGAGTAAATTCCACCTTCATATTTTAGCTTATCACAATCCAATTTCTGCAAGATTGTTTTCATGTTTTTGAAACAATACCCTAGTGCTCCAATGATTACTGGTACTGGAAATACTTTTCATTGCTAATCCTTCCCAAACTTTCAGAATTCCATACTTTAAAGCACTACAGTTTTTGCCGAAGATATCATTTACTTTGTGCTCAATCCTCATGTTAAATGGCTTTCTATCAAGCAGAAAATCTATTTTTGTTGTTGTCAACAGAACTAAATCTGGTTTAATATATTCTAAAGTTGTCACTGTCTATACCTGAATATCCTACAGGATTTTCAGATTAAAAATCAAGCACGTACGAGAATTTAAATAACACAGGACGGAAAACGTGACACCGAAATCCAAAGATGCGAAAAATGCCGCCCAAAAGCTAAGCAAAGCATTAAGAAACAGGAAACTTTTTGTTAGAAACCGTGCTGAAATGTTATGCAATATCATTCCACTTCTATGGCAGTGAATACTGGTCAGTCTCCTCACAGGTGAAGAAGAGACTTGAGGAAACAGAGATGTGGTTCTACAGAAGGATGCTGGGAATTCCATGGGATGAACATGTGAGTAACGAGGATGTTTTAAGGAAAATGGAAACAAAAAGACGCTTATACTTAGAATCAAAAGGTGACAGCTGAAATTTTTAGGACACATAATGAGGAAAGAGGGTTTGGAGAATTTGACACTCACAGGACATATATACAATGAACAAAGTAACTAACGACTTTGTTCGAATGGCAAAAAGAGGGTTTGGGAGGAATGGGAAAATACAAACCTTACTCAGAGCTACAAAGAATAAGAAGTTGTGGAGAGACATGATCATATACACCCTGAAGAGATGCAACACATACAGGATTCTCCAGCACTTTCTTCTCCATTGTGACCATATAATACTTGTCACTACATTCAAGAACATACTTTTTACACAACTTTCAATTCATGAGAAGAGCAACTTTACCACGTTTACATTTCTTATGCTTAAGACCGAAAGTATGGCTATCAGCAAAAGAAGAAGCCCTAGGAACGAGAGTTACGAATTGGAGATGCAATCATCAAGCAGGCGCAGAAGTTCAAATATCTGGGAAGTCTTTTAGCAGAGGATGGAAAAATGTGACGATGAGATCCGAAGAGACAATGGACTAGCGAAAGCGGGATTCCTGAAGTTAAGCAAGGTGCTGCGAAACCGAAAAAAAAATTCCTTAGAAACCAAGGAGACTTCTGGATTGCTATGTGGCATCCATTCTCTTATATGGCAGTGAATATTGCACACTTTCCCTAAGAATGAATAAAAAACAAAACAAACTAGAAGCAGCATTAATGTGGTTCTACAGAAGGATACTGAGAAATACGGAGAGAGTAACCAACAAGTCTTAAAGAAAATGGCAACAGAAAGAACACTTCTACTCAAAATAAGGCAAAGACAGCTGGAATTCCTTAGAAAACGTAATGAGAGAGGAGGATTTAACCCCTCTTTTTTTTCTTTTTATGTGCCATGTCCGCTGTCCCATGCAGCTCTCAACAAGTTCCTTCCCTCTGCTTCCTCCCCCAGACCACGTTCTGTCATCCACTTGCTTAAGCTTGCTAGGTATGTCAAGCGTTGTTTTCCCTTGTCTTTCTTCCCCCCTATTTGACCCGTGAGTATCAGATTCTCCAAGCCCTTCTTCCTCATTATGTGTCCCAGAAACTTCAGCTACATCTTCCTGATGTTAACTATAAACCTTCTCCTTCTTTGCATCCCCTCTAAGACCTCATTGTTGCTCACCCGCTCGGTCCATAATATCCTTAGCATCCTTCTGTAGAACCACACATCTGTCGCCTCGAATATCTTCTTCATCTTTGAGGAAATCGTCCAACATTCACTACCGAAAAAAAGGACAGATACCACGTAACAGCTCAGCACTCTTTTCTTTGTTACAGAAAGAAATCCTCCTGTCTCGCAATTTTGGGCAAGATAGATAAAGGAAGGCTGCGGGCCACTTTACCCGACTAGTATGTGTCTATGGATAACGGACCAGTGGGGTCGGGGACCTTAGCAAAGGGAGTAAAACTGCTAAGAGCCAGACGAAATAGAAAGTTGTAGAGAGCCATGTCCTGAAGGGACGCGGCACATAGAAGAAGATTATAATTATTATTATACTAGTAGATTGATTTATTGTTTTTTTATGGTTTATCATCATTTATTTAAAGCCATTTTTTTTGGATAATAATGATTTACTGATACAAGTTCTACTAATTAATCCATACTTAGGGAGAGAAGGGGTGGATTCATACTTTTCCCAAGGGTATTCCTTCCTCTTGTTTTTGTAACGGCATTCACCTGTGATGGGTTGAGCCGGCTCCAATATTGGAGTTTCATGGGAATTTGGAATTCACAAGCGGTACCCAAGCGGTATAGCACGTGAGATTTGATTATAGTGGTGAAGGCTTCATGCAGGACCATCCACACTTTTTGAAGGGCCGATTACAGAGACGTGCCACAAGGTACCCAAACGACCCTCCGCAGGTTTTGAATTCAGAGTTTTCCTTCTCCTAGAACAGTTGCCATCCAAGGCTATAGAACCCAGTCTGTCCTGCTATTTACCCATAGCTGGAGGGAGAAGAAGAGGATTCACACCTTTCCCAAATGTATTAGCATGTAAGTGAATGTAATCCAAGGGTATTTGCGCGTAATTCAATATAACGAACTCAGCTGGGATTGGAACTCGGTGAGCCGAATTCCAATTTCGTGTCGTTATCCGCCACCCGCACATCCAAGTTTACATCACCTGGTATTCCCAAGCAGTCACCCATCAAGGTACTGACGAGCTTCGGTGACCGTACGAGAATCGGTGTTTCAACGTGTTACATGTAAGCAACACTTGGAACTTAACCACACAATACGATTGACTTTTATGATTTTTTTAAAATTCTATTTTGTAGAACCAGCGGTCGAACCCACAGCAGCAGCAGAAGCCGATGCGCCCGCGCCAGCAGACGAAGTCAAAGATACAAAGCAAGAATGAATCTCTATGAAGTTCGCTTTTCTCTCAACATTCGATTCCAACGTACGTCAGTAAGACTTTAAAACTTTTCTTTTTCTAATTCTATCCTATTTATTTAGACAAATACCGTTCAGTATTTTCTGTTTGCTGTTGATTTGATTCTTTGTTTAATTCTAAGTGCAAAAGGACATTTATTAGATACGCTTCGAGAACTTGGACGTGGGGGCAATGGTTAGCAAGCTTCTCCCGCTAGATCAATTACAACTGAGTAGTGAGTTCGATCCTCACTGGACGCTCCACACTTGTACCACTTCTCAGATACGCTTAGAAAATCATTTGGGCATCTCGGCGTGAAAGTTTGGCTCATGAGAACAGTCTCAACTCGATTTTCACTGGTTGGTCTATACTTTCGGCCATGTTTCACATCTTAGCTACGCTTAGAAAACCATTGTTTATTAGATACGCTATAAATGACCTGGGAGCCTGCAGTAGAATAGTAGTTTGAAATGTCCCATGTTGATTTCCTTTGTGTAATGAGATCGATTCCCACTGAGAACACATCACACCACTAACTAGTTCCTAGTTAAAATTAAATCTATCTCTCTCTCTCTCTCTCTCTCCACACACACACACCTGTATACAGGGTGCGATGGATAAACTGCCGTCTAAATGAAAATAGTACTGGTGTCTCATTTTAACAGATATATTTACCAAAATTACACCAAAATATCTTGAAATATTTAAGAGAAAAATTATTCAATAAAATCGCCATTGGCTTCAACCAGGCCTCCAGACGACTTCGGAATCTCCTGCAACTCTTCTGGGTGTTCTCCTTGTTTAAGTTGTTGAATGCTGCCATAATCCCTACCTTCAGTTCATCTTTGGAGTTTTGATTGTCTCTCAATCAACTGTGCTCCATACATATTAATCCAGGGGTTTGCAGTCTAGGGAGTTTGATGGCCAGGTCTAAGGAGTGGTGTGGTCACAGAAATTGACAGCCATGACTGGGTTCTCCTGTTTGTGTGGCATGATGCAGAGTCCTGTTGCTATAAATCTGGTCTTCCAGCAGCCACCATCTTGACCCAGGGCAGCACTACCTCCTCAAGGCACTTGATGTAAGCATCCGTGTTGAGTCTGTGTCTCTCACCAACAAATTCGAGAGTTCTTTTCTTATCAGGACGATGCTGCCGTACTTTCGTAATCACCATTAAACTCATTCAACTTTTTCCGAATCCTCTGCACTGGCCTCAGATTGACACCCAAACACTCTGAAATGTTCGTATTGGAGCTTCCGGCGTGAATGCCAAGCAGTACAGCATGCCGTTTTCAAATTTCTGTCGGAGTGAATTTCGTCATGGTGCTCTTTTCCTCATAAATTCTGCCCAGCTGACCCTGCTATACCGTGCAGTCGACAAAATTAAAAATATAAAATGGTAACAATTTACCCATCAAACACTGTACACACCCAAGCCATCTATATATATATATATATATATATATATATATATAGAGAGAGAGAGAGAGAGAGATAGATAGATAGATAGATAGATAGATAGATAGATACAGACAGACAGACAGACAGACAGACAGACAGACAAACAAAGACAAATCAGCAATTCAGTCCAAGTTTCCATAGTTTTGTCTTCATAATCAATCATTATTCTATTGCTATTTCTCTAGCAATTGTTCAGATGCTCCACCAATTCAAACTTTTAGAGTTAGGACACTTCATGCTACTTCCAAGGAATCAAATCACTCTCATTTCCTCCGTATTCTACATGTAAGCAGAAAATCAAGAATTAATCATTATTTATCCTCCTTATCCTAATAACTTTTACTTCCTACCACTTTCATTCCTATCACACACGTCATTCATAATAACCATTTTAACCGTTCGTTTTGGGAATGACGATAAACTACATCCAGCAGCAAGGCCGCAGATCGGGAGATTGGAGATTTTGTGGGGCGTGGAACCACCTCTTAGTCGTTGTTGTTCCCAGGTCTATCCTGGCCCGGAGTGGTAGCACCTGTTAGGAGGCTATAAGCAAATAGTGAACTCCCAAACCAAATTCAACATTATATTTTTCTAATAATACCAACCAAATATTTTTATAGCAAAATGACAATCAATGCAATTAGTAAAATTTCATCTACAAACTCTATATCTAAAAAACATACCTTTATTCTGGTTTTAAAAAATAATTTCCCATAACCCATAGAAGTGTTGATATACCACCAAACAAAATCAACCCAGCAAACATGAAAGAACTCTTCCATGACATTAGTCCATATAATATCTAACAATTTCTTAAAGAAATCAAATTGTATTCCAAAATATAACTTCAACAAAATTACAACATAAAATACACATATCACCACCCATAGTATTTATGATCACATAAACATATATATTCACAAAAGCTGAGTATCATCTACCATGGATTCAGTTGTGAAAGCAGAATAACAGATATCACATTTTTATTATTTCAAAGCTTCAAGAAAATTAAATTTCGGTATTAAATAACCCATAAGGAGTTGATATGCCGTTCAACTAATCATTTTAACCGTAACCCCCTACCTTGAGTGATTCTTGAGTGAATTTTTCTATTAGAAAAGTGTGAATAGATGTGTGTAAAATGCTCTGGTTTGACCACCTAATTTGAGGTCTTTAATTTAGAAACGTACTTCTTCTTCAGGACATGGGTGGGCATAGCTCTCCACAACTTCCTATTATTTGTAGTTCTTAGTGATGTTTGTCTTTTGAACATCCCTCCTAGTCTTCATTTTGCCATCCATTCAACTAAACTCGTCAGATAGGTGACCTGCTGTCTTGTCATGTCTTTTTTTGCGCTCGATTTGTCCTATGAGAGTCAAATTTTCCAAGAACCCCCACCCCCGTTCCTTCATAATGAGCCCCAGAAATTTCTATTTCGTTTCCATCTTCATTAAAACGTTCTCGTTTCTTGCATTCTCCATCCATAGAATTCTCAGCATCCTTCTGTAGAATCCCATCTCTGCTGCCTCAAGTCACCTCTTCATCTGGGATGAAATTGATCATCATTCAGTGCCATATACGAAGATAAATCTCTCTACATAAATGGCAAATTCTGTCTGTCTGAATCAAGTTGTCGCTTAAACACGTGAAATAATACTGATGAAACTTTGCATACAAGTTAAACTAATATTCAGTTTGTTATTCGGCTAATTGTTCGTTTTTTTTTATAAAAATCTATAATGAAACCGCTAAGGTCCCTAGATTGCAGCTCGCCGGGTCTTGCGGGAAAGGTTGTTTACTCTGTTTAAGCAAGTGAGATAATTGGTCTCGCCAACTCCTTAGAAATTAAGATAAAAATATTACGAAATAATAAGTTTTATAAAGCTTAAAATTCCAGACAGATATGGATCTTTGTTCAATTTTAAAAATTCAGAGGACAACATTTGAACGAATCGTAGGTTATTTTCTAAATAAAATATTTATTTAGTGCATTAATTCGACATAATCTTTCTTTGAATACGATCTCCGTGGTGTGTTTACATTGCAAAAAAATTAATTCGTTTACATTACAAAAAAGTTAAATAGTTTCAAATTTCGCCATGTGCCTCATTAAATTCGCCAGCTTAGAATTTATAAAAATGCAAAGAAATTGGCTCTATCCATTCGGTCATTTAAACGTAAAATTACATTTAAGTTAAGCTTATTTGCAAATAGAAATTTTACCTAAGCTTATATTTCAACCTACCCTTAAAAAGTTATATCGTGGTTATGGTTGTGGTCGTTGTCTATGGAATAACAAACTGTTTGAAGGAGACTTTCGTGCTATATACCGTCTATGTAAAAAAATCTAGCTGTGGAAATAGCTATCCTTCTTAAAAAAATCCAAACGTCCTTAATCGGCATGAGTCACGTACACTTCCCCAGTTAAGTTTTACTTTTGATTATGGCGGTTTAAATAGACGATATCAATTCGAATTTCGATGAAAAGCGAAACTGAAATCAAAAATTTAATAAAGAATTTTTTTTTTTTAATTTAACTCCATTCAATATTGAAATCCCTCTCTATAATCTATCTGTTGGGCAGATATATTTCCTCTAACGAGGCAATGTGGTGCATCCTTACTCTTCGAAATCCACAAGCGGCACCTGACAATGGGGAATCTAGTTGTTCATCTTGAAAATGGCCAGCGTGTATATTTCCCAGAAGACACTGCTCGAAAAGTATTAGGAATACACCAGAAACCACTTTGATAGCTTTCTTCAAATTATGCCAAAGTTGCCTCTGCCCGAACCACTGCAGGTTCTCGTCTACTACACCTGGGCACACAATTTGTCATCAGGCGGTGTACACTGTGCACCCCAGTCAGCAGGAATCTTTCTTTCTGCGTCTGCTGCTGCACACTGTTAGAGGTCCTTTATCATTCACAGAACTGCGAAGATATAATGGAGAAGCCTGTACGACCTACAGAAAAGCCTGCGCCAAATATGGACTACTGGAGCAAGATGCCCACTGGGACCAGACACTGCAGGAGGCAGCAGTCAGAAAAGCACCAAGTCAACTGCGACAGCTATTTTCAGTCATATTGATGACATGTGTTAGCTTTTCAAGCTTTGGCGACCCACAAAATTAGCATGGCAGAGAACGTCCTACGAATGATTAAAAGGCAAACCTCAGCGGAAATAGTCCCGTTCAATGATGCCACTTACAATGAGGCATTAGTTAACCGAGACATCCGAGTGCCAGCTATGGGAGGTCAAGGAATTTCCACATTTGGGCTACCTCAACGTAAGGAGAAAACAATCTAGCAATTGAGTACATATGGGAGATCAGCTATGACCCCAAGGAAATGACGGCCTATGTAGCTGATAAAGAATATAAACTGATGGAAGACCAACTGCGTTTTTATAACACGATTATTTCGAGAACTGAACGTGAAAGACGAGATCTATTCTTCCTTTATGTCCCAGGTAGAACTGGTAAATTATAAACTTGTTTTAGCACTAGCCCTTCTAAGGGCTATATTCTCTGTCAACACACAAAAGACTTTTTCGGTGATACTTACTTTGAATTGTTATGTTCGGATAACCGATTTGCCTGTTATTACGTAAATCGCTTTACGATTTTGGTATTCATAATTTATTAGTATTTCCTTCAAAGATCATAGGAGGTTGGGTATTCTCTGCGAACGCACAAAAGCCCTTTTTAGTGATACTTACTTTGAATTGTTAATTTTGAATAACCAAAGAAAAGATATGAAAACGGGTACTGAGGACTACATCCGCTTTCCCGGGAATTACCGGGTACATCAGCTAGTATTATATAACAGTTCATCATTCTTTTCTTTGTTTCTAACGAAAATGTCCCTGTTTCTTTGTACTTGGCTTAGTTTTTGGAAGGCATCTTACGCTATTCCAAAGTACCTTCAGATTTCTACATCACATTTTCCTTAGTTTTTATAACGCCCCCCACCACCAATGTAATTTCTCTACTTACTCAATTCTGTTGTCTCCAGTTTGTAGCTCGCATCTTCAGTTGGCCCACTTGCTAACGGCCCTGCATTTTGTCTTCTTGCAATTTATGGTTTGTCATTTTTTCTCTCCGCTGTTATTTGAAACGTTGCTAATATAAAATGCATTTCCTTTTTGTCCAGATCAACTCATTCTTTTTCTTTTCTTTTTATATTTTGCAGGTGGCGCGATGCCTCAAGCGTTGACCATTATAACCGAAAACCCATTGTTTCGTATCTTCAGGTCGACTTTGTGGCCAGACACAGTTTCGTATAACCAGTGACAGTCTCTTCCTTGTTCAAATGATTTATTTTTCTTCTTTTTTGCATAATTTCCAAAATTTCGGTTACAACTCTTGTACATAACGGAATCATGCAATGATAAGAGCATTTATATGTATATAGCTCCTTTGAAATGATTATAAAATAATATACAAGGCAATAAAATATTAATAAATATCTGAAATGTAAGGCCCCGATAGGACTCTCTGCCCGGACTTGCTTCACCTTTGGAAGCAGATAATCTCGTTTTCGGTCTTGCCAAGGTTGAGACACTAGCACAGATGGACAGAAAATATGGAAGACGTGGAAGTTACTTGATAATTCTACTATTAGAGTGTTGTTATTTTTAATCCTGTAACATTTCCTTTTTTTACCAAGATTAAAAACCGATTTTTTGTAAAAAAAAAAAAAAAAATATTGTTGAAATTTTGACGTTTCTTCTTTAGTACATGTTTTAGTTCTTCTGTGCATTTTTATATATTTTGAAAAAAAAAATTTTTAATCATTTCATCCAAGCAAGGCGGGAATGCCACTGGTACACAAGGGGTTACAGAGAGCGAAGGTGAGAGAAAAAAAAACTGGGTAAGTGGCGATTGAGGAAAGGATAAAAGCTGAACAGGGTTCAAGAAGATGGTGATTGACGTTGCATTTAAATTTTTGAAAATTGTAGTTATCAAGGGAGTAAAAAAAACGGAAGCGTTTTCCACACGCGAGAAGTGCGAGAAAAGAAACTCTTGGAGTAGAAGTGGTGGTTATATTTAATTAATCCAACATTAAAAGGGTGGGATCTAGATGCCAATATAGTAGCACATCTGAATTAACGTAGTCCGGACACCAAGGAAAAATCAGAGCAGTTGCCATGAAAATATTCGTAGAAAAGACAGAGGGAAGCAACGTCATGTCGATGAGAAAGAGACTGAAGTCGAGATGCCAAGTCAGGATCAATTACATTGCAGATCTTTCTTTGGATTTTGTCAAGAATCGCAGAAGCACCAGACCAGATATAGCAGCAGTATTCAATGCACGGCCGAATGGTAGATTTGTAAATGTGCAAAATGGACTCTGACAAGAAAACCTTCTGGCACGTCACAGTGACCCAACTTTCCTTGCAATAAATTATTTTAGTAATATGTCCAAAACGAGCACTTTTCACTTTAAAAAACTAGTCATTATAGACAGCACCTACATAATTAATGAGACACATTAACGCTAAAAAGGTAGCAATTTATAGAGCAAAGGTAGTATTAGCGTGCCTGTGTATGAATGTCTTGTATAAATATAGTGTTTGCGTGAAAGTGACAATATTCGAGAGAAATGGGTCAGTGATTGAGGCTTGCTGAGTTACAGCTAAGTCGAGTAAAAACCAAACGTCCCTTATGCGTTTGTATAGAGCTGACAATTTAGATATTTCTGAACGAGTTTGGCGCCAAGCATGGCATCCATATGAAAGTCTCGATCTGACAATGCTATTTAAGAACATGGTTCTGCTCTTTAGGTTAATGTTTTGGTTTTGTAGCATCTTGAGGTATTGAGTGAGACTGCTCCTCACACAGCCTATTCATGTACAATTTCCTCAAATTCTATGCTAAAATTGGTATAACTGATTTATACACTGAAGTATTTTTTTTTTAATCGTATTTACTCCAAGAAGGCAGAAAAGCTACTAAGGCACACGTGGTTACTGGCTGTGAAAGAATTAGAAAACGGTAACATTATGAAGGAGCGAGAACAATAGAATAGTAACAAGGGATGAAGTAGATAACGATTGACATTGCATTTAAATTTTTGAAGATCAAAGTTGGCCGGGAAGCTTGAAGCCGGAAGAGAGTTCCACAAGTGAGAAGTGCGAGAAAAGAAACTGTTAGCATGGAACCTATGGTCACATCTAGCCAATTTAACTGTAAACCAATCAAACCTTGTTGCCAATCTAGTACTGCGCTTAAATTCATAAAGTCTAGGTACCATAGTGAAGCGCTCATCCGAACAATTACCATGAAAATATTTATAGAAAAGGAACAGAAAGCAACTTTACGGTAGAAAATGAGTGAAGCCAAGAAGCCAGGTCAGGACCAATAATATAACTGATTCTTCTTTGGATTTTATTATGAATCTCTAAATTCATAGCAGGAGCACCGGACCATATGTAGCAGTAATATTCTAAGCATGGGCGAATGGTAGACTTATAAATATTTAAGATAGATTCTGGAGAGAAAAACTGTCTAACCCGACACAGTCAAACAACTTTCTTAGCAGCTGACATAGGAATGGATTCAATGTCGTTTTTCTATTTCATGTCATCCGAGAATATTAACCCGAGAAGGCGTAACGAGTCACTTTCTTGGAGGTTAGCATCAGCCATGCTGATGGAAGGCAGAGAGGGGTATCTCAGATTTTTAGCATTTATTAATTCCACATCCGAAATTTTTATGATGGATTCAGAGTAGGCGCCATCACTGATTTCATTCCAGTTTCAGATCTGTTATACTAGATCATACCTATTCTATTGTAAATAGACTCTCCCACAGATAATAAGTAGTAGTAGTAGTAGCAGCCGCCGGGGGGGGGCAGAGTGAGTTGTGTGAATCAGTCGATGTCAGACATTAAAGTATCAACCACCACAACTAGATTGCTGCGTCATTAAATATTATTTCAAGTTCCTAACGTTTTGTACGTCGAACCTCTTTTAGGACCGACTTAGTGAAATACAAGCCTCCACTGTGAAAATTACTCTACAACAAGATCATAGTTTCTGTTTGGGATAGTTTTATCTTTAGTTCTATTTCTTAGAACACTTGGTATAGGATGTTGAGTTTTTTCTCCAAAATCATGCCAATATGTCGCTGATATGATATCACACAAAAGCATCTCCGTCTCAACTTGTTTTCAAAAACAAGACCATTTTTTGCAATGAATTAATTCCTCGCTGACTTTCCTTTGCATTTAACTGAACTAAGCTTAATAAATGTCTAATGAGATTTTACGACTATTAACTGGAAGAAAATTGGTTAATATGAAAATAATATACACGAAAGTGACTAGTAAAGATTGTTACAAATGCACTGCAATAAATACTTACAGAGGCAAATTCTTAAGTCTTGAATAAGTAACGAACATAGATAGATAGATTGTGATTCATTAGTTTCGTTGAGATAAAAGTGTAATGAGACATACGTATATTAAGGTGTAACTCTATCTATCTATCTATCTATCTATCTATTTGTGTTCATTACCTGTCCAGTCAGTTTTTATTTAGCTTTATTTTGATCGTCTGTTATGAATTTTCTATTGTCCGTCAATTGTTGCCTTCTCTTGCTCTAATTTGAACTTTGTCCAAAATCAGTCGCTCGGTTTTTTAATTTATTTATTTATATGGAAGCTACACATCAAAGTGACTAATATAACCTAACCGATGCATAACATTTTCGACAATTCATCTGGATATTTTCAGTATGTTGGTTATTACCGACGTCATATAATGCTAATTATTCTCAAGTAATGTCTTCATTTGAACGTTATGAATCCAAACCGTTCAACAAGAAATTCCCAACATGAAACTTCACAAACCACTTTTGACACGCTTGATTATGCAAAGTACCTTCTCACTGAAATGCACAAGTATTTTTGTAGTCAATATTCTCATAGTATCTATCCTTCCCTCTCTCTCTTCTCCCCCCCCCACACATATATATATGAGAATGTTCAATATCGGAGATAAAACGCGTGTAGATATAGACAATGTGAACATAATAATCAACACAGCATAGCGACTGTTAGCTTAATACGTTGCTATCTTCAAACGAAATTTTAGTCTAAAAACTTAACAATCAGCACGCTTTGTTGATTTCTCTCTTCACAGTCTATATCTATAAAGGCTATGTATCATGCATATATATAAGTATATATGTACTAGGTAAACATTATAAATAGAGATAGATATATATATAAGTATATATATATACTAGATAAATATATATATATATATATATATATATATATATATATATATATATATATATACTAAGGTAATCAGTTTACCCTGAAGATCCGTTTAAGTGAAACCTAGGTAGGTTTGCCTGGCTCCTTAGGATTTATTCTAGTTTATCGCTCTACTTAGCGTATTAAGCACTCTACGTTTTAGTCTTTCTACTCGTTTGGACTAAGGACTTAAAGTACTTGGCGATTGGTTTCGTCTTTTTTTGATGGTTTTCTTTCTTTTATTTGTATTTTTATCCAGTATTATTTCTTATTACTATAGACATTACTTTTAGTGGTAATACGTGTTTGAATTGTTATTCCTGTTTGATTTTTTTTTTTTTTATAAACAATGAAATTAATAACAACCGGCCTTAATTGAGAATTCCTACTGAATTAAAATTGTGTCTCCGACTAGAATCCAACCGGAATCTCTTCTTTCGATTAAACTGAAACTAGCAGATCTACATTCACAGAAGTTCCAACAACAACAACAAAAACGGTTTTTCGTTAATACGTTTATTCATGCTGGCACCTTTGCCGAACTGCTAGAACACTTTGGCTGAAAAATATTAGGAAGAAAGCATTCCGGTTCGATTCCTGTCGGAGGCACAGTTTTTTCTTAGTAGAACTCCTCAATTTAGGCATGTTATTAATTTCACTATTTCAGAAAATAAAAAAAAAAACATATACAGCAACTCAAATACGGGTACACACTAAAAATAACATTTATCGTAAGAAGAAAAAATATATATTATTTATCATGCATGCTCTATTTTTAAATCTTTTGAAAGAGTTTTAGATCACAAGCATTTTGATCCAGGTTCATTCTCTTTATATATATATATATATATATATATAAGTGTAAATGTAAACAAAATAACGAAATATTACCAACTGTATATATGCATGCGATGGCGTGCATACGCAAATAAGCAAATAAATATTTATTTAATTAAATTTATGGTGTAAACAAAACAGTGCTCATGTAGATAAACAGAAGTATGAAGTATATATTAATAAATACACATATACATACTTTTGTAGTTCAACTTAAAGGTTTATGGTTTCCATCGTCGTTAGGTACATATGGCAATTAAGCCGTTTATTATTTAAAAAAAAAATAGCAACTGTAATAAGCGGCTCAATTGCCATAAGTGCCTGACTACTTGGGAAACCATGAAACTTATATATATAAAATATGATAAAAATATAGTTTTAATTTGTGCTATATTTAAAAATGTCAGTGAAAGATAGCATGTAAGTATAAAAAATTAAATTTGACACTGAGGTCAACACTGCGAACCGACAGTTATGCTTCACCGCAATCTTCAGGCCATATATATATATATATGTGTGTGTGTGTTAAAAGAGAGAAGAAAACTATAGATAGAAGTAAAGAGAGTAAAGAGTATATATATATATATATATATATATATATATATATATATATATATAATGTATTTGCGAATGCAATGAGGAAACGAACCAGCAAAGATATACACACACATAAAATATACCATTTATGGGTTCCCATTTGTCCTTTCTCTTTTATTTTGACTTTACGCCGCCGATGAAGGGAAATGCTAATATAGCTCGGCCACGGCGTCATCGTAGGAGCTACCAGAACGAAATTGAAACATGACATCAGACTGTCTTATGGGTTCCGGCTCCGGAGTTGTCCTTTTTCTAGTCTGGCTGTCAACTATGGCTACAGACGCAAACTGCCCTACTATTTACCCATAGTTGTGGGGTTTGAATTTCTTTGGCCGATTTCTACCCATGGCTATAGAACTATTAAATCTATAGCTGGAGGAGAAAAGATGGATTCATACCTTTTCCCAAGCATGTATATGAATGTAATGACTAGAATTCGAACTCGGCTCTCTGATTCCTCAATCCGAATCACAATTCATTACTCCACGGTGCCTCTTCAAGCCAGAAGAGTTGGATTCATACTTTTGTCAAGGATATTAGCGCGTAAGTGTATGTAATGAACTCGACTGGAATTCGAACTCGGCTCTCTGATTCTTCAATCCGAACTGCAATCCACAGAAAAATAAATATTCGATCATTAAATCACGGTGTACTGTCCTAGCGGTCGCTATTCTGAAACCGGTTTTTATTAAATAAAAGAAAAACTTTCCATATATTGACTTTTCTTATAAAAGGCATAAAATGTGGCTTATTTTCTTTTACCTCTAATGTTATAATCAATAAAACAAAATACACCGATTTTTATTTTTTTTAATTCATGCTGATATGATAGCTGAAATAATTTGCCTGAAGACGATATTTTTAAACGATTTCAATGCTAACATAAAGCAATCTAACATGGCTTTTTCAGAATAAACTAAACGTATTTTTAATACTAACATAGCGAACAAAACACGTTTAATGAATGCTAGCATGATATCAGAACGAACATTTTGTGTAACTCGCTATTTTTCTATCTTTTTTTTTTCGATATCTTTGACTTTGATAAGTTCTTTTTATTAAGCAAAGTGTATTAAGTCTATCAATTATTTCATGTACAGTCTTATGTATGCTGGAAGAAGATTCATTTGGGACCAAACAAGATTTGATAGACAAGTACGTGATAGCTTTAACGGAATTGAAAAACACGCAGCAACTTGCTTTGTTTACTTCTATAGTTGTTAAAGGACGGGCCCAACAGTTTTGTCGGCAGGTGCTTATAACAACCCTCTGTTATAGATTTGTAAAATAGGCACGCAAGCATTAAGGCCTACATACATACATACATACATACATACATACATACATACATACATATCTTTAATTTGTAGCTGCAATTGAACAACGCAGTAGAATATGGCAAAATGCGCAGTAGATAAGAAGAAGCCTGGTTAGATAAAAAAGAAAAATTTATGATTGCGTTACAAATGACGATTGATGTGGGGACAGAAATAAAGGAGATGTGACACGAAGAAATTAAACACACACACACACACACACACACATATATATATATATATATATATATATATATATATATATATATATATATATATATAAAGGGAGAGATGGTCTGAAGATTGCGTCGTCACTTGGTGTTGACCTCAGTGTGCATTCTTATATTTACACTCTATACCGAATACTGAGCACTTTCACCCATAAATATAGCATACCTTAAAACTATATTTTATCATACACACACATACTGTGAATTTGGTAATATATATATAGATATATATGTGTGTGTGTGCTTGTTTGTGTAAAATGAGAACGAATAGAGTCCAATTCCAATGCACGTAACATTCAATTTAAAAGTGGACTCAATACAAAAGTAGAGCAATATTCTTAATTTTAGGATATTACATCAAAAATATGTAAAAAAAAAAAAAAAACCACTTGGAAATACCAGGATGTGCGAGTGGTGTAATGGATAACGGCTCGTAATTGTTAAATTTGAGAGCTGAGTTCTAATTCAGGTCGGATTCGTTATATTTACTTACGCGTAAATATTCTTCTCTCTTCAGCTATGGGTTAATTAGTAAGACTTGTATCAATAAATCACTATTGTCTCCAAAGAACAAAATTCTTGCAATGTAAATATATTTCTGGCTTTAAATAACCTGTAAACTGTTGATAAACCGTAGAAAATGAATCAGTGAAAAAAAATTAATAATGGAGAAGAATATTTATAGGCTGAGAGAAATCGATTGAGAAATTACTCTCTGATTTTAATACTCCTTTCTTATACTATGGTCCACGTAATAGAAAACTCAGTAGCTATTCATGGTAGAGGAGTACTGAATGTAAGAGTGAGTATGTAGATGTAGAAGGAACAGGATAAGGGGATATATAGCAATTGACCTTTGACTTTGTTATATACCGTACCTATGAACACTAATGGGTATGTCCCAATCCTCATAAATACGTTGGACACTATTGTAAATGGAGGCAATATGTTGTCTAAGTAGTCTACCACTAAGAGTGGTTTAGCTACTTCACGCCGCTGGCGAGTATTGTATCTTTTTGATGTTATAAAGATTACCATTTCATTTCTAACCTCCGTTTAGGTTATTCCTCATTCAGTAATCTTTTCTAAGTTACAACAGACTTAAAGAAGTTAATATTGTAGTATCTAGGGAAGCATCCACAGTGTAAAAGTTTTTGGAAAAAAAATTGTGTGGAACTTCCTCCTTACGTATGGTATTAGGAGAAAAAGTGGATGGGTGCAGAACATCGATTCCTACTTGTAAAGTTCCGAACTGGTACATGTAATGAGTGGAAGTCGTTTGAATAATTTGCCATGGAAGTAGCAATGG